ACTATCTTGCACCCTTTCCCTATTTAACACCCTTTCATGCAGTCCATGCTCGTCGTACTAGTGGAGAGCGCAGCCATATGGACGTACGGCTCCCGCGCACTTCCCTCTCACGCAGCTAACATGCATCGCAGCGCCTGGGCCATCTTCTTTGCTGTCGCGCACCAGGCCGGCTCCAGCGTGACGTCCCTCGCGACAGACCTCACGGGGCCGATCATTGGCCTCGTGAACATGCTTATCCACTTGCGGGTCGGGCTCGGATGGTCGCACACGCTCAAGGCATCCACCGCCGCCACTGCCAACGGCATGGCGATGACGAGCAGCGCCTCGATGTTCGCCGTGAATATTCCGACCGTAAGCGAAGAGTGTGACCTCGAAAACGTCAGCACGCCCGCGCGAACAATTGACAAGCGGGAGGCGTGAGCTTGGTTCATGACTCAGATCTCAAATGTGAGTACATGGGTCTAGCATTTGTTCCTTAGCTGAAATAGATTCACAAGGTAGATTCTATCGTGTCACAGCGGAATATCATCGAGCCCACAGCAATAGTCTTCCCGCAGCTTTTGATCTTTGCCAAGCGGCACTTGCATACCAAACGACAACCTGAACTTCTCTCTGCATTGGCATTAATCAAATGGCAAAGCGGTGATTATCCGGCTGCCCAAATGTATGCATATGACTCACAGAGGCTGGCCCGGCCCCCAATGTATTTTGGTGACGAGCGCGTAGGCGCGTAGACTACAGTAGTAGGTTATCTACCATAAGTATAAAATTAAAGTAAGCAAAAAATTCCAAACAAAGGGAGTGAAGGGCGGGTGAAAAGTAAAGTGTGAGCGGCGCTCGGAGAACGATGAGGCGGGAGCGAAGTTCGTGATGGGAAGAGCGGAGCTCTTCAGGAACCAAGCAGTCCAGCATCAAGCTGTCTCACCTGAGTCAGCCTCCGCTAAAACAATAGCACTGAAACAGGTGCTCGATGCCGAGCTGCCGGAAAGGGCGCGCGTGCGGGATGGCCGTCGAGCGTGGCTCGAGCAACCGGGTGAGCAAGGCTCAGGCGGCGGTGCCGAGGTTGAGGGGAGCGTACGCGCGATGAGCGTGACTTGCGAAGGAGGAGCGGAGCTCGGAGCTCGGATCAGCGCGCGGTGCCGAAGTCCGAGGAGCTGGTTCAGCGAGCGCAGAGGCCTCCGAAAAAGCTCCCTACCCTTGGAATCCACTTTTACTCTAACCAAAATCTCTGGGAATGTCTTTAGAGAAGCCCATGCACTACAAGTTGAATCTGTGTGCTGGAACGCACGTGGGAGCTATAAACACAGCATCTCCCTATATAAAAGGGCAAGACATCTTCTAGATCTGTATGGCATGTCTGGTGGGGACATGGACCATAATCTCATAATCCTTCAGGCCGAGATCCACAGCTCAAAATCAGAGTATTTGGAGGCCCGGAAGATTCTCAGTCAGATCATCCATGAAGTCCCCGTGGAGAAAAGTCCATATGTTCACGCATTTGCCCTCAATATTGCAGACCTGGAAATGACAATTGGAGGATCGAAACATGGTGTGCAAAGTTTGTGACTCAAAAAACCAAAGTTGTAGAGCTTGTCGAGGACATTCAGATTCATCTAATAACCCATATCTCAAGTAGCTCAGTTAGCCCGCAAATCACAAAATACTCGACTAAACACGGTTCAAAATTGCAACTTCATTAGAAAAGTTTGTGACTCAAAAAACCAAAGTTGTAGAACTCGTTGAGGACATTCAGATTCATCTAGTAACCCATATCTCAAGTAGATTAGATGCCTCCAGCGTGTATATAAAAATAAAACCAAATGGATGCGCCCATCTGGGGGGTGGATGCAACCATTGGTCCACTTGGCGGGATATGGATACATCCAGGCCTCCAAAAAATATAAAACATGGATGCATCCACCATATGTGGTCGCATCCAGGTGCAAACAGCATGGAGGTATCCATATCATTTTTTTGTACCCATCGGATGCATCCATGGCCTGTTAAAATGCAGAACGGATGCATCCATGGCCTCTCCAAATTTGTCAATGGGTGCATCCACAGGTCCTTCTCCCTATGAGTCTGGATGCATCCATGAAAGGGGATTTTCAGTAATCGGATGTGATACAACCTATACAATAGGGCATGCAATCATGTGCTATAGCTACAATATGAAAGGCAAGGAAGGCTACCAGCTATAAGCTAGACCGAGTGCAGGCAAGGCAATGCTACCCAATGTAGGGACGCAGGCAGGGCTACCCAATGTACACTGTGATGCGGACTGCGGTGCTTTAAACTGCCAGATGGTGGGGAGATCCTATGGAAACCCGGAGAATCACGCTTTTTTAGCGAGTGTCGGCAGGATGCCGGCTGATGCCCAGTGATCTCGGCTGCCGTCTTGGGTTGTAAGACCCCGGAACCACACATATGGGAAGCTCCAGCCATCGCTCGTTAGTGTATCACACTCTTCAAGTCAAGGAAATTTCCCAAGTTCTTCCAATGAACACCTTAGCATCAATGATCAAACCCTCTGAAAATAGGGGTGATTCTGCTGGCACAACATGTCTTATAACTCCCTACACCCATGAAATGGATACTTCTTGTCTGTGATTGCATTCCCCCACCTTTCTCTACTCATAACTCTCTCCTACATCATTCCTCAGGCTACTCCGAACTCCCCGACACGCTATTACGCGTCGGCATTGCGTGGAACCGTGTTCCATTCAAGTCACGTGACCACACATAAAATCGCGTCACGAGCGAAACATGTTGATGCGGGGGTTTCTGTGGATACTCTGTGCCACATATTTTCTATCAATACTAATGTCCAATTCTTTCTCTGTATCACACTTCCGCCCCCCTCCATGCCAACCTTCAAGTGACACAATATGCACTTACCTGCCGACTGTGAACCGACCCAAATCAGTGCCCTGAGCTTCATCTCGAGCCCCTGAGCTTAAATTTAGGTTCATTCCAGCTCTCATAAATCCCCTGCTTCTAATCTGTGGTTGTAGGTATGAGTTTGCGCTTCTAGGTCTTCAGCCAGGCAAGGTATGTGGAGGGGCAATGGGAGAAGTGGTTGAACAACAGAAACCATTCATAATCCAGCAAGGTTGGTGTATCATAATCATAGATCATATCCATAGGGCATATGTCATAGGATGTAAATGAAGGTATTAGGAGTCATTCACCCTAGAGACCTTCGTGGACAGCAGTGAACCACTCACAATACTGGTTGCAGATATGTTGCTTCGGGAGTTGCAAATAAAATGGAACTGATTCCTGATTTACAGCCACTGCACAATGGGGATAGCTCAGTAGGACCTAGTGGGTCTTACTACATGGGAGGAGACAATAAAGGGCAAGGACTAGGTAAGTGCCGGCTTCCAATCACACTACGAAGGTTTCATTTTTGATGAATGATTGCACAGATGCCGAACAATCAGATCAGCTCAACCGAATGATTAATGAAGACAAGCCCAGGGTGGACAAGGATAATATGGACAAGGATGTGGAAATCTTTGCTTGATTTTCAGACGAAGAGTTTGTGGGGGGTTCTGACATCGATGAATGGTAGTTTTCAAGCTGAGGATCAATAATTATGACCATTATAATACATGACATCACCCTTAATTTGGATTCAGTATTACCCATTAGACGAACTGGCGCTGAAGGCCAAAATGCGCGGGGGAACAGTGGCTGGGCGGGCGCGCATGTCTAATTCCGGGGTCTTACACCGAAAATGGCAGCCGAGATCACTTGGGATCAGCCGGCATCCTGCCGACGCTCGCTAAAAAAAGCATGATTCTCCGGGTTTCCATAAGATCCGGGCTATGTTTAAATGCCCATCCTCTAGGGGGAATTTGTTCTGTCGCGGTAGACAAGTACATAGGGAGGTTTAAATAATATTGGTGGGGATAACCGTACCAGGATTTGAACAGTTCGTTCAAAATCCTACTAGCTAGGGTGGACCGAGCAAACTCCAATGCCTAGTTAGCCTTCTCGGGTTAACGGAGATTGAATCTGTTCTACACTTCCTCGGAGGGGGAGCTTCGGAAGGCGATGCGGGGTCCAATTCGTCAAGTCCGAGGTGAAATATGGATTTTAGGGGCTTCCTGGACCACGAACCACAGTTGTCCGAAGTATCTTTGAGTCGTAGATTGTAAGACCGGGGGATTTATGTGTTCGCGATAACGTTCCTGCAATTTCTCCTCCTTTTACCCCTCTTTGTGCCTCTACGGAGTTTCCTCTCTCTACTTCTCACCCGTTCGCTTGCTGAAGGCGACTTCCTGCGGGCTCTGCACCGCCAACTTCCTTAGCTAGCAGCTACACACGACCTCCGAAGACCTCGTTGTGCTGTTTGAGAGATTTCACTGCCCTACTGACGTAGGGGAGGAATAGACGGTTCGATATTTGGCGCTGAACTTATGCCAAAAATGTAAACTCCGTTCGCTGTCTGACGGCGGCGAGGGAGTACCGAGGTCGATTTACTGTGTAACTCCACTCCAGGTGACCGCTAGGTGGGCGGGTTTTAGCTACTCCTAAGCTGGCTAAGGCTTAGAAGGCGAGGATGTGGGCCGAAAACTGAGATGATATTTGGTAAACTAGCTGTAGTATTTATACCCCCAGCCCAAGGCTGTGCCGGAGTTGTTCCTTTGTATCCCAAACCTGCTCACTCGCACGCTTCTCCGCCCGGAGTTCGTTTGTGACTCACTTCTGACTCCATGAACCTATGTTCTCAGCCAGGCACCGAATCCGCAGTCCAGATTCGCTGGCCCTAGCCCTGGACTCCCCATTTCCGATCCCAGCTCTCCTCCTATCCAGCTTCCTCCTGCGACGGCTCGATAGCGTAGTGGTAAAATGCACTCCGTATCCTTTCACCCCAGTGTTTGACTTATGGAGAGATCTGGAGTTCGATCCTCCATCGAGCCCTTCTTGTGCTATCCACTTTTTGATTACCCGGAGTTCCTGTTCCCTGCTTCTGGGCTGTATGCATTCGTGGCTCGATGGTGCAATTGTAACACATCCTGTGTTGGTTCTTGCACAAGCACCTCTTGCAGGAAGTCTGGAGTCCGATCCTCCGTTGAGCCATCCCTCTTTTCCATTCCTTTTTTGTGCGCCACTTGTCGGACCTCCGTATCAGTCGTACGCACGGTCTGGTGGCATAGTGGTAACGCACTCTGTTCGCATAGCTGGCGGGAAACTGAAATAATGGAGGGACCGGAGTTTGAATCTCCGAGGGGCCTTGCGTTCTTTTTGTTCATCGAGTAAGAAGATAGGGCACGTTTTGAATGGTTCAGTGGTGTAATGGTATCGCACTCCGCATTCCTATGTAGTTCGTGGTATGCTTTACAGAGAGCTCGGAGTTCGATTCTCCGCTGAGCCATTATGAAGGAAACCCTTCTTTTTCACGGCGACGATTTTGGCTGGTCGTTCGATTCCTACGGCTTGGTGGCGTAATGGTAACGCACTCCGTGATGATCTAATGCATTTTTATATTGATTGACGGAAAGTCCGGAGTTCAATTCTCCGTCAAGCCATTCCGACGGAAACCCTTCATTTAACAGTGATCGTCTTGGCTGGTCGTTCGATTCGTACGGCTTGTTAGCGTAGTGGTAACACGCTCCATAGCGATATGCAGTGTTCGCATATGGTTTAATGGAAGGTCCGAAGTTCGATTCTTCATCAAGCCTTGACAATAACCATTCTTTTTCCACGAAAATGGTCTTATTGGCATTTTTGGTAGTCTGGTTCATGGCTTGGTGGCGTAATGGTAACGCGCTCCGTGTATCTTGCAACGTTCGCATATTGTTTGACAGGGAGTCTGGAGTTTAATTCTCCGTCGAGCCATGGATTGGGTCCAGATAACATTTTTAACTCGGAGTTGGTCCTTGGTGGTTCGACTTCTTGAATGGCTTGGTAGCGTAGTAGTAATGCGCTCCATGGATCTGCAGCATTTGCATATCGGTTGACGGAAGGTTCGGAGTTCGATTCTCCGTCAAGCCATTAGTTGGGTCCGGGTAACATTTTTAACTCGGAGTTGGTCCTTGGTGGTCATTTGAGTTCAACTCTTGAATGGCTTGTTGGCGTAATGGTAACACATTCCGTGTACCTTATGGAACATTCGCATATTGTTCGATGGAAAGTCCGGAGTTCGATTCTCCGTCAAGCCATTTGCATTAAAAATATTTCTTTTGTCCACGGCTCAGTGGCGTAGTGGCAACACATTCCGAATTCCTACATTGGGTGTTTTGTTTTCGGAAGGTACGGAGTTCGATTCTTCATCGAGTCATGCGTTGGGTCCGGATATCATTTTTACGTCGATGTAAAGCCGTTGTTCTCGGAGTTCGGTGTTTTGAGGTCACATCGGGAGCTATCACAATGTGATGGCTCACAATGCACACAGGCAATGCTACCCGATGTATGCACAGGCAGGGCTACCAAATGTACACATGCAGGCAGGGCTACTGGATGCACACACACAACCAGGGCTACCCGATGCACACATGCAGGCAGGGCTACTGGATGCAGGCACACAAGGAAGGCTACCTGATGCATGCACGCAATCAGGGCTACCTGATGTATGCACACAAGGAAGGCTACCCAATGTATGCATGCAAGCAAGGCTACCGAATGCACGCACGCAGGCAGGGCTACCAGACAATGCTACCTAATGCATGCACACAGGCGCAGGCAGGGCTACTGGATGCATGCATGCAAGCAATGCTACCCAATGTACGCACGCAGGCAAGGCTACCCGATGTACACACACAGGCAATGCTACCTGATGCATACACAAGGCAGGGCTACCTGATGTACGCATGCAAGGAAGGCTACCCAATGTATGCCCACAGGCAGGGCTACTGCATGCATGCATGCAGGCAAAGAAGAGGCAGGATGGGCCCCAGCAGCATGCCCAAGCAGGGGCTGCAATTTGGGCCCCACGGGGGCCCTGGAATCCCCAAAACGAGCTGGGCTCTGGGGGATGCTGGATGCACCCATATGCTGGGTGACATGACACCTGGGTACATCCATGGTGGGACTGGGTTGGATGCATCCACCACCCTGGATGCACCCATGCACATGGTATGCACCCAGGTACCAGACCTCCTTAGGGCCCTTTACTCATTGACCGGAATGGTCCTACTGAGGTCTGGTTTGAGGTAGCCTGAAGTGCAGTGGGACCGCCTACCAACGTCTACGAACCATCAGAACAATGTTTTGTGACGGATAGCTTGCATATCGGCAATCCCTCAAGTTTCAATTTTCTCGGAATGGGTCTATTCTACACACGCCGACGGAGTCGCAGAAGGATAGTTGAAGGCGGAGCAGTGCTTTGTTGGAATTTTCCAAGTGGCAGCAAAGCCGGACGTTGCCAACGGAAGTAACGGAAGTTGAAGGAGATACGGAAGTACCTGGAATGATAGCGGAGGTCTGAAGGAGGGACGAAGGTTACAACGGCAGTAACCTCCGTGAACGGAGCTGTCAAAAATGAGAGCATTCGGGAATTGGCCATACCGGCACCGGGAACCGGCGGCACCGGCGGCGTGGATGATCGGTCACTGATGCCCGAGACGACCACGTGATGATCGCGTCGCGTTGTTTTGAGCGGATATATCGTCGTCCTTCTCCTCAACTAAATTGGCGGTAAAATACAAATGCCCAAATTTAACATCAGTTTACTCCCCAAAACCAACTGGAAGACTTCTCATCTTTTCTCGTGATTTTTTCCCTTGAGACTGATGTCCATGTTACATTGCGGCTTGCGGAACCTCCGGGGCCTACCCTTGCAGTTTGGTAGAGAATTGCAGTTGATGAAGCTGTTACTTATATTTGACACTTGCAATAAGTGGGCCATGCATCTGATCTTTGGCGAAATGAATAGAGGTGAGCAGTTTAACATAAGCAATCTTTAGATCTCGTGGTCTGAGCTCATTAATAGATTGGCATTTTAACGAGGATCGGGAACGTGTCAGCAATATTTAAACTCCGAAATATGCCGGGGCTGTGCCGCCGGTCGCTTTGCCGGCTCGGCCAATTCCCGAACTTCCTGCCAAAAATGGATAGGGGAGGTCTCGCTTAGACGAAGGAGGTACAACGGAAGTCGGACCTTCCATGGGACTTCCGACCTTCCCAAGCAGAAAACTATGTAATACTATACAAGTCAGTGCGCGCGGGTTTCCTTCCGATTTGTAGGCAATGAGTAGTCATCCATTCCCACACAATTAGTATATAAAGGCCTGTACTTCGTTAGAATATTTCAGTTCGGTTCCCCCGCTCCAACCGTCCTCACTTCCTCCTCCCCCTTCCCACACTCCAAGGCCCCTCGGGAGTTCCTATATTCCAACATGCTTTAACGATGGCCGGGAGAATGTGCTCCACTGAGATCCTGGTTTTTCGCGCTGAAGAGAACCAATTAAATCCGGATTGCCTGGAATAACGTCGGCATAATACTTCCATCGTATGGGAAGATCTGTTCGCGAACTAGTACTCTGGTCTCGATCATCTAACGGAGGTCTCCGCTACTTCACAGATGATGTCAGCACTACGGGGCTATTACACATCAGCGGATGGAGCAAGGATGGAGTGAAAAATTCTGAAATGTTGTCCACATGAAGCTATGTAGTTCTGGGGCACCTTGCTTCCTGAGAACTTGCCCTTACCTACAGGACAGTTTTGTTGAACTTGATGTGCTACAGCAGCAATCGGACCTGAGTTGAGTCCGCATTGTTCTCCAAATTTATTCCTGTACAACAGCCTTTACTTACTTCTCGATCATTATCTCTCATTGTTCGACTACTTAGGTGTACTTAGCTGTAGATACATGATTACAACCTTTATCTCTGTTTATTTTCTCTTGTAGTATAAATACACGGTGGACTTTTGTACGCACCTCAGACGTTGACTTATCAGCTCTGAGTCTTACTTGAATTAGTTCTATTCACAACAAGTTTGCCGTACCTACTTCATCCCCTCGAAGGCTGAAGCTTGCAAGCATACTGAGCCATCTCTGACTGTTTTTTCGGTCCGCAATCAAGTCCCGATTTAGACACAAAAGCAGCACGAAGTTGGATGCTGGCTTTGCATCAAGACCACGACCTGGAAGCTGGAAATGAACGACGATAACAATTGTCATACATCTCTCTTGAACCTCAATTGCTGAGCTATGAACTTTTGATCAATGGAAGGTGATGAGCAACGTACGGCACTGAGCGCGTAATCCGACTTATGCCGACTGATCCGACATCGGCTTGGCTGTACACCACAAGTGCCTGTTGTCCACCGGGTATCCAAGCAACCGACAGCACAATCCCCCTTACCCCTCAATTTGAACTTCTACTCCATCTTCGTCCGATTCAACACACCCACACTCGCCCAGCCCTATCCTTAATTTCTCCTTCCGCTTTGTAACTTGGTGGTGTTCAGGGCCCGACTCGGCCTGAAAACTCGGGCTTGGGCTCGGCTTGACGGGGCTTAGACTTCAGATTTCCCAAGCCCGAGCCCAAGCCCGCAGGTAGGGCCTCAAGCCCGAGGCCCGGGCTTGAGCCGGGCTTGCGGGAGATTGCGGTCGATCAACAAGCCCACCAGCTATAGAGCACAAATAACGTTTTAACTGATGTGGGCGTCGCCCTGCACCTCAAAAACCATAATTGACCTTGATTTGGCGCTTTAAAGCCCACCAGCATATAGTTTCCATCTTCGGGCTCGGGAGTTGAAAATTTGAACCTTACAAAAACATGCTGGTGCAGATAATGTGGGTGGGATAACTGGCACCATACACTGAATGGACTCACTGACTCGATGTACAAGTTGCTCGATCCAAAATTATGATGAAACCCGACGTTATATGTGGTGCTTCAGGGCCCGGCTCGGGCTTGACATTGTCCAGGCCCGAGCCCTAGGCCCGCTGAAGCCCTGCGTCGGGCTCGGCTCGGCTCGGGCTTTCCAGGGCCCGGGCTTACCAGGGCCCGGGCTCAAGGCTTGAGGCCGAGCCCTGCACATCACTAACTTTGCTATTTACTTTATATCCTCTGCACTCGCAACCATCTTCAGGTTCAAGGAACCAGGTCCCGGCGATGCCTCGAAGTAGT